AATGTCCGGAGTTAGTTGCTCAATATTGTAGTAACAAGCCGACAGGTCAATATTAGCATTTGGAATGTTACTTTAATAATCTTCAAACGAACAACGTAGTGGCTGTAACGACCCTGGCATTTGAGATTTTCCGCCTGTAGCGTAGTGGCAAGACAAGTTTGTGGAGCGTCGGAAGTCCCACGGCGAATGTGCTTTGCTGAAAAACATTTTAGATTAGTAAATACGTACCATACTTACTATACGCCCTGGAAGATTCTTTAACAGTAAATGATTTGTGTGTGTATGGCGCAGACAGTGAGCACTCAGCACCGATCCGCTGGAGCTGGCCGAGGGACGTGACGGACGCGCTCCGGTTGTTCTGGCTGAATGCAGTGCTCGCGCCGCTCCGTAATGAGGCCGACTAAATGCTCCGGCGAGAGTGCCTTCTTGTGTTAGAGCGCGCCGCCGGGGCCACTATTCAATATTCCGGCCGCGACTCGGATCCAATCATTTAGCACTGTGTCCGGCGCACTCAACATGCACACCACTCCACTTCATTTACAGAATGAATAAATCGAGAGATTTAAATAATCACTTTCCTGTAACTGGACGATTTGTTCTCGGTAGGGATATCACTGTAAACAGGTCAAGATAGTGCAAGAGGTCGGGGATAAAGCACTTTTAAAAATAAATAAATACGTTGCCTGCGTACTCACAATCTTTAAGAGTTCTTCTATATAAACTCTTTGGATATATAAATCAAGGATTCATTATTTTGGAGAATTTTACTAACTACTGACTAAATTTGAGTATTGTCCAGTGGAGCCGAATCAACACGCTGCCAGGCATTCTTATCCTCATTATAATCTGAAAGTTCGTAGTATGCCTGTCTACACAATTCGCGTTTAATATGATTTTTTAATTTTTGTTCGTTAAGATTCAATAGACTACTTGGAATTTTATTGTAACAATTTACTCAGAACCCCGTAAAGGATTTCTGTATTTCGGACAGACGGAATCGTGGCACAACCAGCCTATCTTTGCCTCTTGTATTTAAATTATGTCTATCGCTTTTTTTTTTAAATAATTGCAAAACATCCACATCCAAAACATACAGATTGATATACACGAATTTATAAGGGGTCAGTGTTTTGTCATTTGTCAAGGGAACATTTGTAAGTGATTAATTGTGTCTAGTGGCCTGTATACCGAACGATCTCCCGCTACCCCGGACCTGTTCAAAGCGTTCGTTAGAAACTTGCGTGTAACTCGTAGCTCGTAGCCCGTAGCGGCGTAGCACAGCTCACTTGCTACGGGAGTGCTACGATAGACTCGGCAGCTACGTGTCGGTGACCTGCCATTGACACGAAACACGGCCAGGGGCCCGAGTCTACTATTTTCAAAGTGTTGTGATTCCTGCACGATTCCATTGGCATTTTGCTAAAAATTCGTAATCTGTTAATTCAAAATGGCTGATCATTGGCGTTCGGCGATGTCGTAATAGAATTATAGTACGAGATGTCTTGTCACGAATTATAAACAGTAACTGCACATTAATATTCTAAACGTAAATCATTGAATAAAGGAACTGACATTTTTTTATTAATTTATCGCATTATGTCAAATATTCATTTGTCATTATGTACGAGATTACCGTTCTAAAGAATTATTTCAATGAAGTGGCGTTGGGAGGTCATAATGATGCTATCGTGTTAGTAGATTACCAAACTTGTCAAAATCAACAATTTTGAAACCAATGATCTACTATTCTGACACTATTGTAATAGCAGACTCGAGGCCCAGGTTGTTGGTGGTACGCAGCGTACGCCCACGCTGGGCATTGTATCTTCATATTGTCTTAAGAATATAAGGTTAAACTCGTTACCTAAGGGTTGTGTAAATTCCTCACCAATTCTCTTTTTTTAGCAGACTTGCTTTTTGATAAGTTTGAGGAACTGGGACGCCGTCTCCTCCTTTTGTGAAGCAGTCATGCTCGCAAAGAGAGAGACGGCCCGCGTGAGGGAGCAATCCTCCTCCTCACGCCCCAGCAGCCGCAACTGGCGACATTACGGGCGTCGGGGATCAAGGGACGATCTCCGGCCACCGTAAGCACGGGCCTGCGGTCGGCGAGTAAGGGCAGCTCGCCACCCGACCAGAACCAGGCCCGAGCGTACGGCGCGTAGCGTTCCGCGCGCGCCTCAAAGAGCCATTAGACCACCACAGACGGGGCCCTAAAGGGCTCATGTTCAGCCGGGGTTGCGGGGTAAGCGCAATGAGGCACCGCGACCTCGGCATAGAGCAGGAGAAGGAACAGGGGGGTTTTTAGTCAGTAAGAGTCTGACACTCCCTCCTGCCCGGCCCTGGGCGGGAGAAGTCATACGATGATTTTCCCCACAAAAAAAAAAATGATAAGTTTAAAAAACAGTTTATTTATATATTTGTACCCAAACCGTACCTATCATCTAATTTAAAATTCAGATTAAATTTTTGTAAAACGTCCGGTAATGACTATTTTTATATATATATTTTTTTTATTTATTTATTTAAGTCAGGCATCTGAGGCCCATAGAGAATACAATACATAAATATATTATAATATTAAATCATAAACTAATACATATGTTACAAAGATAATTTAAAAACGAATGCACACGAAGTGTCGGCATCGTGTTACGCTGCGTGGTGTCGCGTAGCCATCCTCGGAACCTCCGATATGTTACAATCCACATTTTATAATGGTGCACGGCCAATGTTGGGACCAACTTACCACTGGCGCTGGGCCCTACAACTACTCTCTAAAAGCCTCGACATAAGCCGAGCACAGGACAATGCAGGGGGGGGGGGAGAAGGAACGCAACGTTTCGTCAGATGTGGGCCTTGCTTCGTCACGAATGGGCCAGCTCGACTGGCGTGATACCACGGTCACGCTGAATACCAGCGTGAAATAACGCATTCGTTTTGTTATGGAATGATATATGGAAGCAAAGTAACGGAAACCCAATCAATCCCTGCAGCCCCTAAAATGTCTATGACAAATCCTTGTAATGTGGTCAAATTAAATCCTTGTAATGTGCACGTACGAAACTTAGTAGTGTTTAGGTAAACTTAGCGTGTAACTATGAGGATAACTTGAGAATACAGCAACCACTTTAAACGCATCGGGCTAGATAGTACGTGTTGTTAGCATTCAATTAAAAAAACAACTTATGTGAGGGATGGTGGCTTGTGGCTTGACCCGGACCCAGAGCAAAAATTTATGGATCGCTATAATGTTGGTGTTTATTTTCTGGGATTTGACGTCACGGACATCAGCACCGCCATATTTAAATGAAATTCAGTTTTGCTGGTTATTCAAATTGTCAATTTGAAATTCATTCATCCTTTTGAAAAAATTAAATACCTATCTTTATTGACTAACTTTATTCATAACATTATAAGAATATTTGCTCATCTTTATTGATCTGTTACGGAATGTTTCATTTGTTTATTATCTCAACCACGAATGGTAAAACTGTCACTTATGTCTACTGTACGCACAGGGAATCCTAGTTTAAGTGACTGTCATTGTGTGTTGCAATGTAATTAGTAGCTCAATAAACATTTTTGTTTGTTTCAATAAACTGCTTAACGCCGAAAACATTTGCATGTTCTCCTTCGTCCCATTGTAAATTAAATATGCTTATCACAATGTTAGAATCGCCCAGAACTGATATTTTATTTATCTCTTGGTTTATATTCTTTTTTTTTTATGTAATAGGTCGGCAAACGAGCAGACGGATTACCTGATGGTAAGCAATCAGCGCCGCCCATGGACACTCGCAACGGAGGTGTTACGAGTGCGTTGCCGACCTTATAGGGATTAGGGATTTGGAGATTTAGGGATTGAGGAGGGATTGGGGAAGGGGAAGGATTGGGCCTCCGGTAACCTCACTCACACGGCGAAACACAACGCAGTGGTTATTTCACGCCGGTTTTCTGTGAGGCCGTGGTATCACTCCGGTCGAGCCGACCCATTCGTGCCGAAGCTTGGCTCTCCCACACTTGCATGGCTCTCCCACACTTATTCTACTTGGATTGTGTCATTATTATTGCAATATTATGAAAGCATCCCAGCCAACTTTTTATTAGTTTTTATGTTCTATTTTACGCATATCTTAATTAAAACAGATGCTGTGCTGCGATATTTCTCGAATGTTTTTGGCTCTGAAAGTGAACATTCGATTACTTTGAGTAACACTTGCCAGACATTTTGATAATGTGCGAAATTTGTATTTCGTGAACCATCTGCCCCATAAATGTGTCGGGTACTTATTATTTATCTCCGGTGCACCACAAGTAACAAGTTAAAAGTACTTACATACTTTTCTGTTTGCCGAATAAACTGTGAGCAGTATCTACTGTTATATAATCAATGTTAAATGATTTTATTTATATTTTTAACGGAGTGAATTATATTATAATATACTTTGTTTTTAAATTGGATGGTCGTTTTTACTAAGCATTCACTTGTAATTAGAGTAAAATTACAGAAGCATTACACGATGAGTGTTCTCGCGAACATTCAAGCGAAGGACAGTTTTGCTTCGATTCTTTTTAATTAAATATTTGTAATGAAACAGGATACATAGTCAACATCGTTTCGATTTAGTTAATTTTGATATTTATAGAATAATTATATGACAGACAATTTGATAAATTACAGTATAATTAAATTTAACTGTGATTTATCATTTTAAGATTAGTACTTGATTACTGTAATTGATGTGTATCGTGTTCCGACGTATACTGTGTATTTAATAAATTGATTTCCCAGTAAGTGGCTCGCTCGGTCGCCTGTCGGTATGTTGGAATGTCGGTAGAGATGTAGTGTACATACCTGTTGCGAGCGACAAGCTACAATGTGTGTAACGCTAGTCAGCGTGTGTGTGTGTTTGTGTGCCCTTACTATACCAAAATATAATTTAAGCGCAGATCTTGCTCTCATTCGGTTGATTTACTGTGGCTAAGCGGCTAACCATCTGTTATGAAAATGAGATTGGGCCACCGGTGTCATGTGTGTCAGCCGTGTCGCGTGTGTCAGCCGTGTCGCGTGTGTCAGCCGTGTCGCGTGTGTCAGCCGTGTCGCGTGTGTCAGCCGTGTCTCGTGTGTCAGCCGTGTCGCGTGTGTCAGCCGTGTCGCGTGTGTCAGCCGTGTCGCGTGTGTCAGCCGTGTCTCGTGTGTCAGCCGTGTCGCGTGTGTCAGCCATGCCGCGTGTGTCAGCCGTGTCTCGTGTGTCAGCCGTGTCGCGTGTGTCAGCCGTGTCGCGTGTGTCAGCCGTGTCTCGTGTGTCAGCCGTGTCGCGTGTGTCAGCCGTGTCGCGTGTGTCAGCCGTGTCGCGTGTGTCAGCCGTGTCGCGTGTGTCAGCCGTGTCGCGTGTGTCAGCCGTGTCGCGTGTGTCAGCCGTGTCGCGTGTGTCAGCCGTGTCGCGTGTGTCAGCCGTGTCGCGTGTGTCAGCCGTGTCGCGTGTGTCAGCCGTGTCTCGTGTGTCAGCCGTGTCGCGTGTGTCAGCCGTGTCGCGTGTGTCAGCCGTGTCGCGTGTGTCAGCAGCCGTGTCGCGTGTTTCAGCAGCCGTGTCGGGGATGCCAGTAGCCATGTCGCGAGTGTCAGCCGTGTCTCGGGTGTCAGCCGTGTCGGGGATGCCAGTAGCCGTGTCGCGTGTGTCAGCCGTGTCGCTTGTGTCACTCGTGTCGCGTATGTCACCCGTGTCGCGTGTGTCAGCCGTGTCGCTTGTGTCACCCGTGTCGCGTATGTCACACGTGTCGCGTGTGTCAGCCGTGCCGCGTGTGTCAGCCGTGTCGCGTGTGTCAGCCATGTCGCGTGTGTCAGCCGTGCCGCGTGTGTCAGCCGTGTCGCTTGTGTCACCCGTGTCGCGTATGTCACCCGTGTCGCGTGTGTCACCCGTGTCGCGTGTGTCAGTCGTGTCGCTTGTGTCACCCGTGTCGCGTATGTCACCCGTGTCGCGTGTGTCAGCCGTGTCGCGTGTGTCAGCCGTGTCGCCTGCCGGCTATGTCACACCAATGTTAGTATGTTAAACACGGCAGGCGTGTTATTTGATTTTATAATTTCTCTTTTCAGTAAATTGGATGTAAACTATTCGATTCACAAGGTGACGGAAAAGTCCGTTATTACGTTTGTTTGTGTGTCACCACGTGAGTAGCAAAGCTATCGCGATATTCCAAGCTACCTCAATTAGGTACATTCGGTATCGGGTTGTGCAAACAGAGCGATCCCTCGCGGGCCCGCGACTGCGTAGCGCGGTGACTGCGGCTGGCGGCGCGCGGCCGGCGCCCTGATTTACTGCCTGTTGAGCTCCACTCGAGGCTCGCTCAGCTTGCTGTAATTGTGCGACTGAGCGCCTCTGATTTAAATAACTCTCTCCAAAATGATTAAGCGTTTTATTTTGCAAAGTGATTTCTTAATTTATTTTATTATCACCCTGCCTTAATAGCTAGAAGCATCCCGCTACTAGCATAACATTCAGTTGTATAACAGGATTACAGCGTTACTCGTCTCTGACTGTAACAGTACAGACGCAGTACCTCCGATACTGTATCTCACGCACATACACATACACACACATCACGTATATATAATAATAGGGCACATGGAAGAAAATGTTCGTGCGGTGTCATGTCGCCACTTGGCATCCGACATTTCGCCTCCAGAGCTCAATTCTTCCTAATATAAACGTCAGGTTCAAGTCTCCAGTTATAATGTAATGGAATCGGAGACGGCTTGATATACGATATCACCTAACATATAGCCTTGTACGTACATGAATAGCATACATATATATATAGGCGACGTCGGAAAGAGAGACACATTTTTCTTAAATTTCAGCTTTTGACTCAGTCTTTGATGTAGAAGTTATTTATTTTGGAAGCGTTCGGAACAATGTTTCCATTTCTTCATGTGCATGACAAATCTAAATTTTGATAAAATTTTACTTGATCTCTTACTATTGTGGCACACTGGAGCAATGCCGATTGAATCATTCATCAACTGAATCGTCTTCTTCGGAATGATCAATTCAATTTATTATGTCCGGTCAATTTAGACATCTGAAGTTACGACAATTCCCACCCAGCTGAACATTGATTGGTTTGTGCAAAGTATAAATGAATTTAAAAACCCATAGAATTGATCCGAGAAATAAAGTGACCAATAATAAAGTGAGGAATAATTCGTCACATCTCGTTCCACAATTTATTATACACTTCCACGTGGAAGTATATTAATAAATGAAATAACATGTAGGGTTTTCATAATTAAATACATATTGTGACATTGACAAGACGTCTGTAAAAACAAACGCGGTGACCGGGCAACCGACCGCCACGCAACGTGCACATGTCACATTGCACATCACAGCTAATGTTGTGATTTATATATGATACTAGCTGACCCGGCAAACTTCGTACTCAAATATTTTTTACACCTGCCCTGTATATCTGCGAATATTTCAAGACCACATTTAGCCATGTTGCTCGAGCCTTTTTCGAGTTTTAGCGAGACTAACTACCAGCAATTCATTTTTATATATAAGATGGCGTAAACGAGCATTCGATCAACTGGTGATAATGTAAGAAATTGGCGCCTCCCGAGACACCCGCTACACCAGAGGAGTAACAAGTACGTTGCCGACCTTTTACCAGTTAAAGAATTAAAGATTGAAGATTTTGTGGATTGCGAATTTAGGGTAGGAAACGACTGGGCTCGGGCAACTTCACTCACGCTGAGTGAGTGCTTGTTTCACAGCGGTTTTTGACAAGGAACATTTCAGACTCCTCACAATGTTTTTCTTCATCTTATGACAATATAGCCTTATGTTAGAATAGACATAGCACACTGAACCTCTGGGCTACCAATAAAAGCACTGTTGGAGCTGATATGAGGAAGTTACGTCGAGTGGCGGCTAGAGCGACCGGTGCTAATGTTGGCGGGAGCAAGCGTTCGGTGTTTAGCGGCGCACAATGATGTTAACAGGGCGAGGACGCGGGCGGAGGGGCGGGCGGCTGCGGAACCTCTCCGCCACGGTAATATAATATGCGGACGTGGCGGGACTTACAACCGACTCAGATAAAACATAAGTGATGCCCGCAACCGCCACACTGTCTTGTAATGGTTACAATTTGTAAAAGTCGCCATGGAGCGACTACATTAGCCACACTGTGCCGCGGCTATCTGGGACGACCTCCATGCAGCTCGTCGCTCAAATACTAACTCTTACAAAATGAATGTATCCAGTGACGTAGTTACACCCGGATTACCCGGAACTACAATATAAGATAACGCAAATTGTTGGTCCCTGGCCCGCGACGCCATGGAGCGGAGGCCACGTCGTACATTATACTAATATAGATGAGTGTGGCGCGGCGGGCTGTGCGTCTCGAAACACGCCTGTGGGTGTAGGCCTGGTTGGTGCTCTAGTGAAACGTTTTTAGAAACACATTATTTATAATGAGGTTGCAATCGGTTTGTGATCAATCACGCGAGTGCGAGATGTGATTGATGTCGGAGGGCAGGCGAGGTGAGAGTGCGCGGCGCCGGCGGGTGCTCGCCGGTGGCTGGCTGGCTGGCCGGTTGCTCGGCTCGAAATAACTGAAATAATGAAGTAAATTAACGCGCGACACAAAGGCCGCCTCTGGGAGCTCGTCCCTTTTTGTGAAGCTCGGCTTACATAGCACCGCCGACTCTAACGTAATAATAATTATATTAAGTAGCTTCTTTTGTAACTCGGTGATAACCTTCGTCCATGAACAAGCGGCGACTACTAGTACTTCGCGTGATTATAATAATAATAATATCCCTTATGTAAGGCGGTTTATCAAGGATCAAGCTGTGGACCTGAGAATTTATTTTTTTATTTATCCATTTATCTCAGGCACCGAAGGTCCATATAAACATAGACATTACTATAATTTATAACCAATGTATAACTCAAAAATACTAAACTTAATAAATACATTACATAACATTAAACTTTAAAACTAGGGCACATGAAGTGTCGGCGTTATGTTTCGCTGACTAGTGTCATGTAGGCGGCCACGAAACTGGCGATACACGACACTCTTCGGCCAGAACTCTTCCTTGAGGAACTTCTCGAGATGGTGTGTCGGAATTAATGTGTATTGAACGAATGTTTGAGAATGACGTTTGGAAACTGCAACAAAAGCCGTCGTTGCCGCGTGGTAGGTGACGCCGCGCTACAAAGTACTGCTAGCACGCGCTGTGCCTGGGGAGGCCTCCAAATTGGCAATTTGAGGCGGCGCGGGGCGCGACGTGTCGCGGGGCGAGATCATCGCTCTTGTTTCATTAGCGCACGTGGGACGACATTTAAGGCCTTTGTGGTGAATTCTTTTGATCTATAAATCGATCACACTCTTATATATGCAGTAATTTCCTCGCTTCAATGTGCGGGTTCGTGACATACTGGAGAGAGCACTTAATGTATTTAATGCAATAACAACGATATAGCACACAGCCTCCACACTGCAGCACCTAAATCCCCGTCACAAGGAATGCAGACAGGCAACAACTGCGCGTTTTTCCACAAAAAGTATTTCATCCCAAACACAGTTACAGTAGCTACTGCTGACAAGTGGGCGCCGGCAGCCGCGAGACGTGTTGATAATGATTCGTCTCATGTGTACAACGGGTTCACATACACGCGCCTACTCAGCCCAGGGTCCTCCGCGGTCATCGTCTGGTCCACTTGTTTCCCCCTTTTTCTAGTACAACAAGTCTAAATTTTTTGTTTTAAAATACACACTTTTATAAATAACAAGCGGTCGCACGCGGCTACGCTCGCGTGGATTCGCGGTTTTCAAGATTTTTTTTAGTTTTCTCTGCGTACAAACCTACTCTGGACTGTCACGAATAATTCAAGACCAAATTTAGCCAAATCGGTAAAAGCATTGTTGAGTTATAACATTACTACGAAATGTGGCATTGATTTTAATACATATACATAGATTTCTAGCTTTTGCCCGGGACTTTGTTGGCGTGGAATAGTGACTTCCTGCAGTTTTTTGTTTTAAAAACTGTCCTATGTCTATTCTTGAGTACCAAACTTCACACAGATAGGTTCAGAAGTTTGGGCGTGAAGAAAAGACAGACAGACAGAGTTGCTTTCGCATTTATAATATTCGGTTGGATTTAGTTATTTATTGAATGAAATAGCATATTCGCGGCGTGTCAGCGGCGATACTGGGCCCAGATCTGGCAGTACATGGTGAGACTTAGATACAAGAGCTGGTAAGCAGGAGCTCCATAAATTTGTGTCCGTGACTGTCGGCGCTTCCTCTAGCGGTACGGAACCCTAAAGTACGTTAGGTATGTAGGACTGTTTACTAAACGACAGGTACCTGAGAATCCGTTGCTAGGTGTACACCTCACGCGGATAAGGACGGGTACATTATACCTCAACAAGGTAAATTTGCGTTTGATCAAAATCCGGGTGTATCCATTTTGTGAGGAAATCGGTTGAAAAAATCCTTTTGTAATACATCGTCCCAGAACAGCGCAAGGAGACGCTTACGGATAAGTCAGTGTGCTGACAGGGGGCGCAGGCGTCGCGGCGCGGGCGGGGGCGGGGGACGCGACACTGTTAGCCGCCACAATAGGATAAGCCAGAAATGGGCGCTCAGCCTAAGAATTCGACCCAATGCGAATGCTTGTCGTTCTCGAAAGGAGCGGAAATAAGTAAATTAGAGGACATTGTCGCTTCGTGTCTGTGACAGCTGGCAGCTGGCTGGCGCGCGGCCGGCCGGTGCCCGCTGTCTCTAGCCGCGGTCCTCAAATACCTACCAGTAGGAGTAATCGTCAATATGGGAGAATGCGAGTTTATCATAGGTTTTATATATGGTAGTATTGTTACATCTCGGAGTACGCGACATTTTGTCACATTTAGCGAGCGCTCGACCAACACGAATGTTTGAGCTAACTTCCTCATTAGAATTATTCACTTCCCTCGATAAATTTAACGCAGGAGACAAAATGATTTAAGCAACGGAGCGACCAGTTGAGGTAATGTTTTAGGTAGAGATTTGTCTCTTTCTAACGCATTCCTGCGGCGCATTGAATATTTGTAAAATGATTGATGTAAAGTTGCTGGCTCGGCAGTGCTTTGGCAGACTGCTCGATTTGACAGCTTGCAAAAATGCATAAGCATGGATACCGAAACATGTAATGCGCGGTGACGGAACATGACAGCTATTGGCACGCGCCGCGTCACGTGTCACGGTGCGGCCCTACGTACGGGATCTGTTCCCGCGTCGGGCGCGCGCGGCGCCACCGGGCACATCAATCATAATTATGGAGGCAGAAGCGTCGCGCTCGACCGCACTCCTCGCCGCTCGCTAGCGGACATTCCATCCATAACTGTCGCCTTTTAGCAAGTCATTTGGCGCTAAACTATAAGCCGCAGCCGCACTCTCACAGCCCTTGACAAGTTTAGTGTATGACCCAACGTCTGCACAGCCCACACATGTGCCGCTCAATACAGAACCTAATGTGAGTCACCCATGAGGCACAGGCGCTTACACTTTTCCTTCTGAGACACTTGGTTAACGACTTGCAATATTGAAACATTTCCAAATCGAGTTACGATTTGGAAATCAAATGTAAGTACTTTGTTAAGAACTTAATGATAATATGTATGCGACACCGTAGCTAGTGCTAAATATTTTTTTCTTTTGATACAGATGCGATAGCAGCGTGCTGTGTTTGCACTCAGCCAAACTGCACTTGTGCGAGGGAATATCTTTTGCATGGCTCAAAAAATCTTTAACAAAATACCAAAAAAATGGAAAGAATTGCCTTTTCTATTATTCGAAAAAAGGCTTTGTAGCTTTTTAGTAATGAAAGCGTACTTATTATGAAAAATATTTAAATTTATATGTGATTGTTAACCTGCTTCATTTTATGTCTAACTTAGCGGGTAAATTACTATTGAGTTATGTTGTTATTACTATGTATTGAATGTTTATTTTTGCGGTTTTCATTAAAAATTTTAATTTAGCTTATGGAACAATGTTTGCATATTTCGCATGCCCAATGAAGTACGGATGTGCATGTTGAAAATGGTTATAATAATGTTTACCCATATTTGCGAAATAAATATAGTATATGTTTATCTTTACATAATGTATGCCAGCTGAACTGGCAAACTTCTTTCTGCCTCAAAATTAACTTAAGTTTTCTAACCTTAAAATTAGACAATTCGGTAAAGGCATTGTTGAGCTTTAACATTACAACGAAAAGTGGCATTGATTGTTTATATATTATTTTTATGGTTACTATTGATTATGGTACCAATAAGCGATATATAAAAAACAATAATTAATGTTTTGATATTGATTGATTGTTTGTGATTCACTTTACCAATATATGCCACACATTGCCGTAGTTGCATAGTTATATATATGTAGGTATATAACTACATCTATTCTCCTACAACTATTGTCGTAGGAGACGGAAGTAGTCGGGTAGCGATTTTTTAAAAATAAATGTGGTCCCGTTATATTGTATGTATGGATAAATAATAGGTTTTTACCTATGAAATTGCCGTTTTGCTTGAAAAAATTTAAACGAATTTTGTGATTTGTAATGCGATGAAAATGTAACACTAATCAATAAACAAATGACTACTTTTGGAAAAAGAATACCATGTTTTTAAAATAAAATTAATTAGCCTTAGCCTAACAAAAACTATTTTGATTTGAAATGGCTAGTATTGCAGAACGGCAGTTTCATAGGTAAAGACCTATTATATTTTATAAAGGGAAAATATTGATGTGTGTAGTATTTATGTTTGTTAATGGAAATACACATAGCAGCATGCAAATATTGAGTAGTTGTAGGCCCGATACCAGCAGGAGCTGGCGTCTGGCCGCCCCCGTGTCGGGTGTCACGGCGTTTTCTTGTTACTGAAATGCGTTCGGCTGAAAATCAAAAGTTTTAACGAAGTTCCAAGAATTGAAACTTTGTATAATGGGTGAGGCGAGATGTAGTTTGTCACTGACAAAAAACCACACCGTGCCTCCACGTGGTCCACGCCGAGGCCGCAGCACCCATCTATGGTGCTCTGGTGGCACTTTGAAGCGAGATAGCTCCTACGCGCTCCACCTTCTTTTTTTTGGAGCATCACTGCTTCGAGGTTAGGGGAGACGACTTTCCAGTTCCTGTCGCTCCGTACCAGGGTCTTATGAGAGCCGCCGCCAATCACTTCTCCCAGGAAACGCTCTAAAATAGTTTACCCTTTCATTCCATGTACTTATTTATTATGTAGATCGGAATGGAGCGTCACCGAGCAATGACAACAAATACTCGTTATTATAGGTTTTTTAGCGTAAAAAACACAAATAAAACATAAAGCAACCTTGAAAAAAATACATAGCAAAGCCCAAAAATTTGTTCCACGGGCAACGGGTCGCGGCAGGGTTTGATTCTCTTTGTGTGATCCACAAACTGTTGTTTTGGGTCTGTGTGTGATGTGTACGTGAAATTGTATAGTGCGGGACCATGGAAATACATCATTAGCCTATCCTACCGGCAGCACTGTGCCAGCTGAATCTTTAATCACGACTAACACAAAGTATTTGTTAAGCTGAATCAAGATATCATCTCATTATCGGCTTCTGTTACCGCGTACGTACTTTATTCATTTAATAACAACTTATAAAGCATTTTAAATATACACATTTATTCCGTTATTATTTCCGGTATGACTTGTATATTGACTTTACTAATTTCGAATAGAGTCGACATACACAGGGCCGAATTAACTCAAGGCTCGAGAGCCCTTTCTTTTCCTTGTGTTTTGGTGTAAACTCGAGTGAAAACCATCGGTGATTTTCAACCGTTTTACAATTGGTTTTTTTTTTGTATATAACACATATGTACTTTAATAACAAAATATGTGCAAGCACTTACAGTAGTATCATACTTGCGCGCCGTGTCTCTGTGTACAGGTGTTGCCACCGCAGGCTATGTCAACTCTCTCGCATCATTATTGCATTGCAATTAACGAGCCTACGGGTTACACCGCGTGGTTCACATTCGGTCCGCGACTAAGCAACACCTCATTTATCATTCGGCTGAGTCCGTGGACTCAATGCATGTATCAAGTGCACTTTACTATTGTACTCACATAACTTGATATCAATCGCCAAAAGAAAAGAAGAATAATTGTACCAAGTTTCGTTAAAATCTGTCGAGTAGTTTTTGTTTCTATAAGGAACATACAGACAGACAATCAGACAGACAGACAAACAAAAATTTACAGATTGCATTTTTGGCATCATTATCGATGACTAATTACCCTAATAGTTATTTTGAAAATATGTTTCATGTACAGAATAAACCTCTCTACAGATTGATTATAAGAATGCCTGGCCGCGTGTGTGGGTTCGGCTCCGGTGGACGATACTCTAGACTATATTTAGTCAGTAGTTAAATACTCAAAATTTTCAGAACAAAGAAAACTTAACTATGCAATCAAATCTTTCTTTTCTAGTATTTACACATAGCATTTATACAGAAGTGTTTGAGTGGATTTAAAATTTCATGATTGGGAATTAATCCCATTGTTAGTTTTTTAACAACTTGTTCTCTGCTTTGTCCTTTCAAGACTTAGTATTGGGTATAATAATGTATTGGTGAACTTGTAAAACGTGTAGTTTTTTAAAAGAGTAATGCGTTTTCAACCGAGCTACGACCTAGCTTTACTGACGAACAGACTGACGGACTATTATAATTCTATTTTGATGTTTCACCGTTTGACCGGTTACCAAAGGCCCAATCCTTCCCCTTCCCCAATCCTAAAATCTTCAAATCCCTAATCCCCAAAAGGTCCGGGGATAAACCGTTGCTCATTTGCCTTTTCGGATTAAGTAGTTATAATAAATGATTATGACTTTGACTTTAAGAATAATCTTTGTTGGCGACGATGAGCGCTCATCTGTTTCATGATTTTTTATGTGAATGTCAGCATAGAAGAAGCCCTTAACACCGAACACGATAACCTATCTTCTGGATTCCAAGACTCTAGGCCATCCAGACCTAGACTAGGTCGTGGTTGATTTCTCTGTCCATTGGTCAAACAGCTACGGGGTGTGTGTGTGGACCAAGGGTTTAGGCCCCGATATTAGGTATACTTTGTTTTTTCAGAAACTACGAAAGATCCCATTGAACAATATATTAAGAGGTGTACCTACAGAACACACAAAGAAGCCGGAACAAGCCGACACACGAGAGAGACTGCACAATAAATCGATTCCAATCAGTTCATTGTAATGGAGAATTAATTTAGTCAACATATTGGAACACGTCCAATTACACAGTGAACCAATTAACTGCGGCGCGCTGTCAAACAAACATAATGCACGCATGTACTATGCGTACCCACCGCGGCATTAGTAGGTATGGAGGCGCCATTACGTGGCGCGGCGTGTGATCGAGCGAGCTCCATTTAACGTGATTAACGCACAACTTAGGCTGATTACAAAGCTCAGCGGTAATTTAATAAAACCACAGAGTAGTTCCCACTACACAGTTGCCTAATGTCGCGGCAATGTACAGATGAGCGGCGTCAGGGGGTCGTTTGCTTGTAGTCCAAGGGATCGACGATGATACATTATTTCCTTCATCGTTTGACGAACGCACTATCATTATGTCACTAAACTGCCACCGATACTTTACAGATTTGCCAATGAAGCATTCCGTGTGAATATCTTCAGCTTGTTTAGAGAAGATAAAGATAAAGATCGTTTTATTTGCCAAAACACGTGTAGGTTATATAATACATGCATTCTATAGATGTACAGTATTGTTTGTATGAACATGCTTAACCATCACTGGTGTACAAATATTAATTAATTTTGTAATAAATCTATAATAAAATGTCAAGATTGAACTAATAATGTTAATTACAATGACATAATAAAGTTAATAAACACGAGCTACAAGAAATAAAGAGAATACAAATAGTTAGTTATTGTTAAATATTACAATTTAAATATAATTTCGTTTAGTCATTCAAATACAACTGTCACCAAGAAACTCATGAATATTATAACAACATTTTTGAATCAGGGTATTTTTAAGAGTTGTTTTGAAAATATTGGCGTTAAATTTTTTCATCGACTTCGGTATGTGATTATAAATTATTGAAGCTTTGCATACTGCACTTTTCTGTAAAAGCACTGTTTTAGCCAGCTGGATACAAAGGTCTACTGTTGTCGCGGCGTGGACTATGTGAGGGTACGTGAGTAAATGGGAAACGACTTTTACTTTTAGGTATAA